AAAAAAAAAACGAATATATCACAGAAACATTGTCGCGACGGAGTAATTTAACGGTTCATTTGCGAAATCTACGAAAGATCTGTGAAATTGGAAAGTTTTGCTGAATTTTCCAAGGAAAATAGGAATATTTCAAGATATCATCTCAGAATCGGAAGAATTCAACGTATTATCACTGTTCTGTGATAGTAAACGTCTATGAAATTATTACTAATTAGTTACATTTTTCGTTGCAAACTCGACAAAATTTAATGATTTCACAGATAATTCGTTGTTTTCACTTCGAAACAGAAACAATTCGCTGAATTTCTCTAATCGAAGATTTTTTCGTGAAACATTCGTACTTTTCGTTGTAATTTCGGCAGGATTTGCTACCTAGATACTTCTTAGACTTCACGACGTATGAAAATACTTTGGATTTCTTTGTTTTGACGGCGTTATCATGAAATATTCTAATTTTCCCATGGAAATTCGACGAAAATTCTTAATTTCACACATATTTCATAGATTTCACGACGAAACAGTTATAATACTTCGAATTTCTCTGTTTCGACCACGAGTTCAGATATATTAGTATTTTTCATTATAAATTTGACAAAACTTGTAAATGGCATAAGTATTTCAATGATATCATGACGAAATTGTGATAAAACGTTAAATTTCACTCTTTCGACGATGTTTTCTTGCAATATTGGTATTTTGTTCTAGATTCCACAAAAAATGTTAATTTCTTATATATTTCGTATATTCCAAGACAAAACAATGATAATACGTTGAATTTCTCTGTTTCGTCGAAGTTTTCGTGAATTATTCCTGTTTTTCTTTATAAATTCAACACACCATTCTGATATCGTATATCACAGATTTCACGACAACACAGGTACAACTCATTGAATTTCTCTATTTCGAAGATGTTTTTGAGTAACATTCGTATTTTTCGTTTTTAGTTCGGCAATCCTTGATAATTTCCAGATTTTATAGATTTCATGACGAAACAGAGACAATACGTAGAATTTCTTTATTTCGACGGTGTTTTCGCAAAACTCTCGTATTTTCCTTTGTAATTTCGACAAAACTTCACTATTTAAGATATTTCCTATATTAAATGGCGAGAAGTTGGTAATACGTTGAATTTCCCAGTTTAGACAATATTTTCGTTAAATATACGTATTTTTCGTTGTAAATTCAACAAAAGTTGCTGATTTCATAGATATTTCGTAGAATTTACTACGAAGCAGTGAAAATAATTTGAATTTCTCTATTCCGACGGCGTATTCGAATAATATTCTATATATATCGTTGTATGTTCGACAGAGCTTGCTAATTTTTAGATATTTCGTAGATTTGACAATGAAACTGTGATAATACGATGTATTACTGTTTCGTCGATATGTTCTTGAAATATCCATATTTGTCGTTGTAAATTCAAAAAAATTGCTGATTACGTGATGATTTTTTCTTGTAAAATACGTATTTTTCTTCGCAAGTTCTGTAAAACTAGCTTATATCATAGATATTTCATAGATATCAAGACGAATGAGTGATAATTGAATTTCTCTATTTCGTCCATATCTTTTTTATACATTCGTAATTTTAGTCGTGAAGTCATTGAAACGTGCTAATATCTTAGATGTTTCGTATATTACACAAAGAAAAAGTGACAATACGATTAATTTCGAGTTTTCGATGATGTTTTCCTTAAATACTGGTATTTTGAATTGTAAGTTCAAATTAGTTGTAAGACAAAACATGCTTATTTCATTAATATTTCGTAGATTACACGTCGAAACAGTGAGAATACGCTGAATAACTCTGTTTCTTCAATAATTTCTTGAAATATTCGCATTTTTCGATGTAAATTTGACAAAAATTTCTGAGATTTCACGGCGAAAGTGTCGTAATACATTGAATTTCAATTTTTCGTAGATATTTTCGTGAAATATTCGAATTTCTAGTTGTAAATTAGAAAAAACTTTCTGTTGTCTTGGATATTTAGTACATTTCACGGTGGAAGTCTGGTAATACATTGCATATCTCTACTTCGAAGATGTTTTTGTGCAACACGCGTATTTTCGTTTGTAAGTTTGACAATATAACAAATGCTAATATCAAAGATGTTTCGTAGTTTTCGCTACGAAACATTGATAAAAATTTAAATACCACAGTTTTGTCTAAATATTCGTAAAATATTCGCATTTTTTGTTCACGAAAAGTTGCTAATTTCATAGATATTTTGTATATCTCATTGAGGAACAGTGACGACCCAATGAATTTCCCTCTTTCATGTGTATTTTCGTGAAACATTAGTATTTTTCGTTGAAAATTCGACAAAATACTTGAGTTTTTGACTATGGATTTAAAGAAGAAACATTAACAAGGTTAAATTTTCCAGTTTCGTATTTTTATTCGTGTAACAAACATATTTACCATTGTAAGAGTGATAACATCGCTGTCGATGAATAGCGATATATCACCGATACATATTACAAAATTGTGTTTCTTGTGAATTCCACAATGCACAGAACAGTACAAGACAGTCAGTTCGAGATAATATGTTGACAGAATGAATGTCGAAAATTGTGATTGCATGTGTAACACCAAAACCGTACTCTATAGTTTTGGGTTGGACAAGTAATATTTGATAGTCGTTAAACATCATGTTCATTGTGATCCACTCGGCACGCAAAATTGTAGAAGATATCATATTGACATTATGTTATGACAGAGTGAATCTCGCATATTTTGATTTGCCTTATGTAGTTAGCAACCCAGGAGACCGTAATACTTCGGGGAGAATAAAAAATGTTAGATTGTAGCTCTATATTAAAAAATTGCGTTCAATCTGATCCAGTTCGATGCGTAGCATAATACAAGTGAAACAGATCAAGACAATTTTGTTGACAGAATGAATTTCGAAAACTTTGAACAGTCTCACGATATCCCCGAAACGTTCCCGTTTGCCGTAATTCATCGGGTTTGATGAATAACATTACGTCGTCGTCATGTCTTAAAATATTGTATTCGTGCTGTTTTCGCGATGAATATAATAACATGAGATTAGATCGTGTTAGAATATATTCATGAATGATGCAAGCTGTGTGAGTGTGATTGTCTTTTGTCGTCAACTAAACAAATGCACACTGGGTCCGCGTTTTGCAGTTGATCTCCAGGCGTCGTTCTGAACGTACTTATATATGCATTTCCCATCAAATGCGTTATCGCCAATTCTTGTTCTATAAATAATCAAATAAACTCTGACAGGTTATGGGCCCAGAACGATTCCAGTGCGCGAAAATTGTTAGTGCGAAAATTGTGAATGCGCGAAAATCGTAAGGAAAAATTAATCACGTGTGACGAACTTGAACAAGAAAAAGAAATCATAGCGTCTATGCACAATTTTTCGAATATAGATAAACTAAATAACAATAATTATGGTTTGTGGAAAGTACATATGAAAAGTGTTCTCGTGTACAACGATTTATGGTCAGTCGTTAATGGAAGTGAAATGAAAACGGGAAAAAACGAGATAGAATGGACAAGGAAAGATGCAAAGGCACTTG